AAGATGGATGATAAAGATAACAGAGAAACAATATGTAAAGCAGATCGGAAATGTTTTCCTATTTTTGCCTTTTGCAAGACAAAGTTTTCGAAAGACATTAGGGGAAACGACTTGGCTTCTCGAGCCGTCGTCGTCCCTCAAAAGAGAAGTTGTGTTTCTCAAAACAGAAGTCGACTTGTGGAAAGTCTGCCCAACACATTGCAAGGCGGCTTCATACTGAGACAACGCCTAAAAGATCATAGCAGTCAATGACTTCGAAATCGCTGTGATAAGTAAAACCCAGCACTAGAAGCCAAATGCACTGCAAATAGATTTTAACTGTTGCGGTCAACAGTCACGCCATCGAAAAACAAAATCCACGTACGTGTAAAAGACAATTGGCCTTCTAACCTTCTTCGAAAAGACTTTGTTGACAGAGCTGTGGATTAGAATTCATTACAACCCAACTGCGATAGGCGGCAGATTAATTATTGAGAAAGTCAGGAAACTATGCTAAGATCAGGGGACAGTGTACTAATACATTCGAAGACAGCTCGAGAGACTACACTATTCTTTCAGTTCCTAACAAAGTTCAGACTGCTTTTCAAGGGAAGCTCCAGTTCCAAAATTTCCCTATCCTCGGCGCCTCAAGGAAGATGAAAATAATACCACCATGATTTGATGAAAGAAAAAAAAAAATTTCGGCATTTGTTATTTCCTTCAGACGCTCTCGTTAAATACCCGCCTCCTCATAGAGGGATAAGTAATCGATACGGAACGATTCTGTTTTTCTTGTTCACAGAGATATGTTGACACAACGCATGCCAACACAAATGGGCAATAAAAGAGAGCGCGCTGTTTATAGATTTTGCCCTCCGCGCCAGTTTTCTTCACTTTCGTTGATCGCAAATCTATTTGTTCATCTAGGTCATGTTATGGCAGTCCTCCAATAAACAGTGTGAATTTGGAAACATTCGTTTATTAGAGATCAATATAGCTCAATGTTTAGTATTAGTTCTGAAACAAAATTTTTGAAGGACATGGCGGTGCTCTGTGCACATATCAGCTCGGTTTTCAGTGAGTGGAATTTTTACGCGCAAGGCATTCTTTGCCAGAGGTCACTGAGGCTACAATTGAAATCCTCCGTTGCCAAATTTGAGATCCTTGAAACCTTTACGACGTTCAGACCAGTTCAGTGATATTGATCGTGGTTGAATTCCCAGATGAGGTAAAAAGGCAGTCAATTACCTCTTCAGAAAACAATTAGTAAGCCAAGTGAAAATCGCATTGCCAAATTGTTCAACCAAGGAAAATGAAAAGAATGAAATAACAATTTGTTTTACAGGTGTTTTTTAGCTTATTGAGTCATAGCTACCCTAACTAGATTTACCAAGCTCAGAAATTCCATCGATCGAAATTTGGCGTGAAACAAGAGGTACTTCAAGAAGACGTTCATGATCCGTCGCCGACTAGAAGTTTCTCAGTTAATACAAATGTGTATATAGTAACCTATATTGCGTCAACAAAGCATCAAACGTTACTATTGTACATGACACAAAATTAAAATCCTACCTTAGAATTTCTTGCGTGCTAAATCTCTCCGCATTGGCGTTTCACATTTCATCGCAGACAATCTCGTCTTGGGACTATTTTTCTAAGACAGTGTCCTCAGCGACCGTCATGTTTTGAAACTGGGTAAACAAATCAGGGTCAGAATTAGCCTAAAACCAACATTGAAGAATGTACAATGATTGAAAGGTCTCGCTATTTGATTTTGGACCATGTCAGAAACTGACGGCGATAACCAATGGCGTAAAAGAAACTTACCGAAAAATATAAATTTGACTACAGAACAATGACTTGATTCATCCGTCCGTATTTGGTCAGCAAACTCGGAAGAAAGCAAACAAAACTCAGCAGTTAATTTGGTGTACAAATAGAAGAAAATAGACTCCGCAGGCGTGCGATAACCTTTCCACAACAAGCTCAGAACTAGCCGAAAGAAACTTGATCTATGTTCATCCTTTAATATAACGGAATGGAAAAAAATCACTTTCTAGTCAATTCAGCAAAAGGCGATTAAAAAAGTGTGCCGTGGAACGAGGTTTTGACCTTCTTAGCACGGTTTAGCAAATTTTAAATTCTTTGTTTTTGTGTTTTGTCGATATCTCGTGGAGTCTTTAAGAGTGAATGCTGAGGTACATTGTCTTTTCTAAATCAAGTCGACCTCAGATGGTTTTGTAATAAGGGAAATGTTTCTCCTAATGCTTAAAGCAGATGGCTGATTATGAACAAGCTAGGGCTGAACAGAGTGGAATGGAAAGCTGTGATTCATTTTAATTAATTCCGCAGTAATCGCTTTTCCATATTTGAGCTTCACACTATCGGATCAAGGTATTTTCCTCAACCAAAAGCTGCATGTTTAGAATGACATACAGGTACTGCATCTGTATCTACAGGTACTGTATCATTTGCCGTAAAACTCGTGAAGAATGAAGAACTATAAATCACAAAATCAAAAGACGTTTAAAAGGCCATAATTTCCAGCTGTGATTGGGGCCCGGTCCTTCCCGTTGTAAACGATATCGTGAGAAGGGCTCGAAACTATTCGCTTGGCGCGGGAAGGCTATTTATTTATGGCATTCTTGTAAACAGGTCAACGGGTCTAAAAACCTCAAAGTAATCAGTTTGAACCACAATTCTGCAAAACAAACAATTTACACGTGCTATCCGATTCCGGGTAATCTGGGTTTAAAAGCTATTGAGACGGTTTATAAAAGCATACTTAAAGAAACAAGAACAGAAACCGGAAGGAAGGCCAGAAACAGATAAAATAAAAGCACGATTGTTAGGCCTAGAAAGTTTTTTCGAGATCTCCCTAAATCACGTCATATACACACATATTGAGAATGTTGAGCAAAAATTATCGTTGTATTAGCATTGAAGAACAAATTTGAGCAACATGCACCGACTTTATAGCATGATCTGATCAGCATTCACTACATCTACACACCGAATGAAATCCTCATATCTCGCTCAGAAGAATTCTGGGACCCTCTTTGAACAATAGTACAGGAACTTCACTTACCAATGAAACGGGATATAATAGCATATAACAGCAACAGCGTTTAATCTTGAAGTGATAAAAAATCGCACTAGCTTGCTGCTAAACCCTTGAGGTGAGGTTCAAGAAACCTAGCTTTTCAAAGAGTCTGCCACGAAATGTTCTCCTTTGTTATATAAACACCAATGAAATACCAGGTGATCTATTGCGCGAAAACAAGATATCTTAATACGTGAAAATAACGTTAAAAAGATTACCGTTGCCATGGTTACATAACAAATCACACCTCTCGTTGCGGGAGTGAAATTGTTTGGTATGTTGTTGGTGTGTATATGATACGTAGAACATTACATGGCCGCTTGGAGAGATGAAATTTCTCTTCTCGTGTTGAAAAATATTTCACTCGTTCGCTGCGCAAGCTCGTTAAATACTCGGCCATGTAACATCCTTTATGCATCTCATGTGTTTATAGAGAGCCTCGACTAAAGTGAAGAAAATTTGAATACGAATCGAACCATCGTAAAACCTGTTACGACACTAAATGTGTGAAGTAAAAGGAGGCGAAATGAATGGAGTACTTCTAATGTCCTGGCTGATTAACAAAAGAGATCTTCTCTTAACAGATCTTCTACTTGCGTCGACCCGATCGCTTTCACCGGAAATGTACGAAGATCTCCGTAATTATTTCGGACTTTTCGACAGTTCGGAACTGGCGGTAGGAATTACAATTTCTCGCACTTTAATTTATAGTTTCTTTACATTTTTTGATTCTACATTTTTAATTTAAAAACGTTTGAACTGGACTTGAAGATCTATTAAACAAAATACTTGATATTACTATATTGATATACTGGCAAGGATGAACGAGAAGAAAAACGTTCAATCTGCTTTGACGAAAAGCAACTCCTTTCGGAAAGTGTTTATAAATCGCTTCTTTTTACACAAAAACAAAAATACATTATGATCTTTACTGTCGATTAATACTCAAACATTGTCACAAATTGTAAGAGAAAATCTTTTACAGAAGTAATCAATCGGTTTTTTTTTTTCTGCGGTAAAAAACAGTAATTGTTTGGGCGCAAAAACGGAAAGGCTGTTTCGTCTGCGTGGGCGAATAAAAGAAGCCGCATGTACGCCATTTTCCTTAATTGCTCTCGCCTCGTTTAAACTTTCTATTGCATTTAACGACCCATTCTTACCTTGAAAAATACATTTGGCAACTGCTCACATAATTCGAAAGACGACAGATCGTTTTTGTTGGAAAAAAATAAAAAAAAAGATTTTTACAAATAAAACTAAACCAAACGCCCTATGCTATATTTCAAAGGAAATAAAAAATATTAACGAAATTCTAAGGTGAACATGACACACATTTGAAATTTCTGACCACTACCAACGCACATAATCTGTGAGCCTAGCGCGCTCGCAATTTCTTATTTCACCGGCAGCTTATATTGTTATATAAAAAAAACCATATAAACGTCTTGTTATAATTGTTTGTAGAGCTATTGGGTTTTTTACGATTGACTGTTACAGCCAAAGAACTGTATTTAGTCTTCGTTTTTTTTTTTTATTTCGACGTAAAGAAGCCGGCAGACTGACGGCAATTGAACTCCTACTTAGTTGTTTTGTTTTGAAATGCAAATTTACTTTTAGGACAGTGAGTATATACTTCACAAAAAGAACGTGAATATGGGAGTCGGTTTTGTTGAGTCGATTTAAAACGTAATCGCATTTCGCTAGCAATTTAGGGCTTTTGAATGTCGCTAAAATCGTACTTTCATTTTCAAAATCGATTCGGGTTAAAGCGCCATTGTGTTGCTTCGTAATAATTCAATGCTTGGCATAGTGTTTCTTACGTTTAACCTAAACTAAATTATTACTAGAAAAATAAAAAAATACGTTTGAAGATAAGTTAAAACTTAAAGTAACGAATAAAGGAAAATTATCTTCACAGTCAAAGAGGGCGTGATAGGTTGATTTCGTTTGAACCTTCTTTTCGAAGAATAAAGCGTAACGCGAATTGAAAGAAATTCTCTGAAAACACAAGCAGATGTTTTGTGAAAGAATACGGCCGCAGAATCGGAAAAAACAATATTGCGCGTGCGTGATGCAAACAGAATATTATTTACTTTTCGCTGAAACTAACTGTAGTGAACGAATTTTCAGTCTCCTTTAGCTTCTTGCCAAAGTATCGTAAAAGAAAATGCAATCTCCGAAGGAATCGCCACCAGATCAGAATTTGCCGGCCGTTGTTGAACTGAACGTGGGTGGGCAGCTCTATACAACTTCGCTTCCAACGCTACTCAAAGATCCGGAGTCGCTACTGAGTGCAATGTTCAGCGGCAAACAGAAAATCCCTCGAGATTCCCGAGGCAGATTCTTCATCGATCGCGACGGTATGTTATTCCGATATATCCTGGATTATCTTCGCAACTCCAAACTGGCCCTGCCAGAGAATTTTAGCGAGAGAGACCGACTCCTCGTAGAAGCGGAGTTCTTTCGGCTAAAGGGCATAATTAAAGCTCTGCAGCGAGACCACGAGCGAGTGAAAACTGGAAGAGATATAAACGCGCGGCCATCCGGATTTCTATCAATCGGGGTTCGCGGGACATACGCGTTTGGGCGCGATGGTGTAGCCGATGTGAAATTTCGCAAGCTCCAACGGATTTTGGTCTGTGGCAATGTAGCCTTGGCGCGTGAGGTATTCGGCGAGTGGTTGAACGAGACAAGAGATCCCGACCGAGATGATGCCGTCCATCGTTATACAAATCGCTTCTACCTCAAGCACAATTATCTGGAAAAGGCTTTCGATCAGCTGTACGACCGAGGCTTCAAGCTTATCACCAGTTCAGCCGGTGGAGCGGGCTATGATCCCGAAAGCGAGGAGACAAAATGGAACCACTTCAACGATTATGTGTTCTTCAGACAGTAATTATTCAGTTCTATAGTGTTTGTACCTTTCACAACTGAAATCAATCGTAGATGAAGACTCGGTGTCAGTTGGAAGTTGATTTCTGGTGATCGAACGTAAAAAAAACAGCAACAACCGAAAACTGTGTTCACTCTACGTTGAATTAAGCTGGGATTTTCAGACGGTGGTTATCTTGATTGTTTACCGAGGTAGATTTATACTTTCTATTTTTATGAAGAGTGAAAACTAACGACATAAATTTTGGAGCGGCAGATCCAAGCGGTCGCACTGAGTGCACTACAGGACAGCACCAATCGCTTGCACCCAGAAAAAGAAAAAAAACAGCATTCTCTTTTATTCTTTTGTCGCTTTTTAAATCTTGATTTACAAGAATCACGTTGCGAAGATTAGACATCGAAGTTTACCTTTTTCTCAGAGGCGAACGGAGTCAAGCACATAGAAGATAAACAAATGCACAATAGATATGAAGATTCTGTGCAAACTTTGCAAAGGGAAGTATTGTTTTGGTATGATCGATTTAGCAAACTCAACAAAAAATCTAAGCGTGAATTCTGTTGCTTTGTCGAAGGGAACATCTTCAAGGTGGGAGGCATACTATAGAAATATATAGCGAAAGGAAAATTAGCAATGAAAGTTAGAAATAAGCACAAGTGTAAACAAATTGCAATTCAAAGAAAAACCAAAAAATGTAATGTATATGGTACTAGAAAATCCATGCTATACATTTCTGGAGAGAAAAAATTATTATATAATTTAGGAATGAGAATTAAATCTACAAATTGATCTATAATATGTAAATATACATACAACAAGTATTTGTAAATTGTCAAATGGAAACAGCTTCTGATCTACACACGTCCAGATTGCTATCCGCCAGTCAGCTCTGAATTGTGGAAGATTTAGTTACGTTACGAAAATAAACTTTGAACTCTTTAGATCAGAGTTTGCGAGAATATACTACAATAAAGAGAATTAAAACAGAGAGTGTAATCAAACAAGCTAGCTTTAACCGAAACGTTTAAATTGTGTTTTAATTTTGCTCAGGAAGAAAACTCAAACAAACACGCCCATATCGAAACTGACTTATCTGATTCTTAGAGATTTGCTTACAGGCCGATCAGGGTTTGTCATGATGATCAGTCCCCAAGGCTTGCTCAGATTGATATCTAGGTAACGATACATTCAATTTGAGAAGGCTTCGGCCCGAGTGATCGAAAAAGAACGCAATAAAATGGAAAGCGAGTCTGAAAAAAGACTTCTTTTGTCACATTTTATTTTCGCCTGTTTTGCCGAAAGTTTTCTGTTCGCCGAAAATCGCCGATGCGCAAAGATGCATTAATTATCGTTGTTGAAGGTTCACAACAATAAATAGATTCTGTCCGTCAAAAGTCGGTAAAAAACAGGTGGGAACATGATTGATAACTGCAGATAATTACCACTGATATTGAAAAGAAGCCAAATGGACACTTGCCATAGTTAACAATTGCGATATATTGTCATGGAAACTGTTAGAGTTTCCTTCGCTTCCTTGCGTTCAAGAAGAAAATATTTTCCAAAATTTAACAAGAGACTGAAAACTACGTTACACTCACGACTTCTACCAAAATGATAGCAATTTTAATTTCAAGCCGAAAGGTAAATTGGATTACGCTGGTACCGACCACGACTTTTATAATCATTATTTTTACTTACATTTTCACTATTGTATTACACTTCTTTTTTTGCAGGGGGGAGTGGGGTGGGGTGGGGATGCGACGTTGTGGATTAGAGGGATTTCATTTATTTGAAAACAAGCTGTATTTACATTGCTATAAATTGGAGTCACCAAGTTGTCTACATAAAGCGCAAAATAATAATAAAGAAAATTATAAGCATCGCTGAAATCCTCAATGGATAAAAAAAAAGTTTATTGCCCGAAAAAAAGGTGAAATATATGGCCCCATATACGACACAATTAACATGTTTATCTGGAGTAAATACGCGAGTGTTCGGATTTGTAAAAATACGGTGAGAGAGTAATCAGGCGGTGAAACTCGTTATTTTTTTGACGAATTCTTGAAGCGCTTTATTTGAGTATCACATGTACATCTGTTTATGTATATGTAAGTACATGTATATCTCGCATTTACAAATTAAAAAAAACAAAAACAAAACAAAACAAAACAAAAAAAAGACTGAAGTCCACAACAACCTGATCATAGTAGAGTGCGCGAATTTGAGCTCATCTATGTCGTAGCTTGCATGCATGTGTCTCGTGTAGCTCATTCAGTGGTAAAGCGGGTGACAGGTATGCGCAAGATCTTAGTGGGAAAACTCCGAGTTTTTTTTTTTCTTCCCCGAGAACTGAATGATATATATCTTTATAGAGCTCTTAATCAATTGAGCTCGAGATCCGCATTGTAACTGATATGAACCGCAGCTTTTTCCTTTGATTTCTGTCCCAACCATGAAGCACGCGGGCCCTATACGCAACAGGAAAAACAAAACGGGATCTGTGATACGTTACGGACCAAGAAAACGGCTTAACAAGATATAGATATTTAATCATTTAGTCTAGAAGATAAAAAAAAATCAAGTAAAGCACGCGCGGGGTTCGAGATTGCATATCAGCGTTTTCGAGCGTTTTAGTGTGCACGGGGAAAAAGCCGCGTGAACGGTATCGTGGACGCGAAACTTTTGATGCATCCGCGTTAGTGTGGACATAAGTATGGTGTGGACAGAGCCTAAGACAAGCACTGGTTTTGAACAAGATAATGAGCTCTCGTAAAATGCAACAACTGTAAAAACATTTCAAACGTTGTCTATATTTTTCCTCTTACCCATTCAATTTTGTCGGTAGGTAATACACGAGACACGAGCAACAATGGCAAACTACATTTAGTTTTCAAAGGAGGAGATTGGGGAAGAGGAGAAAGATAGCTTCCTCTTGTTATTCTGAAATATGTAACCGAAGATTCCCCGTATCGCAGTGGCGAGTTTCTTTGATTCCCCCCCCCCACTCCCTATCACAGCATGACCACATGAGTAAGCTTGCAAAGCTAACACAGTCCCCTAGGCTTTGCATACTGCTTATAAAACCGTCACTGAAATATCCCGTTATGGAAACTCTGCGCCAAAGCTTTTTTTAATATCCCAGAGTATTCTAGTCCCGAATACACAGTCGCGATGCCATAGAATTTTAGAGCATTCAAGGTGCACCCCATAGTTGATGTACGCCTAGAACGTTGAAGATAATTCTATTGGAGTGAAAGCCCGTGAATACGGCCACCAACGGACCATGAAAATTTGACCGCACTGACGGGGTGACCGCATTAACATGGTTCGGCCAAATTTCATGATTAGTGTAAATTGAGTGACATCCGTCTTAACAGATGTATCAAAATTGCACCTTTAAACTAATGTTCTTTAATAAGCATAGGAATGGAGATATAATTAAGGGGAAAAAAAATGAAACTTCAACCAGTACATACAATATCGACAAAGGAAAGATGAACATAACTGGTTTGAGTGGCCGTATAAACGAGGCAAAATTATAAAGGATTATACGGGTTGAGATTTCACAATGTTGCCGTTGGCCGTATTAACTGGGTGGCCGCAGTAACCGGGTTTTCTTATAAGAAATTAAACTCTATGAGCGTTTCGCCGGGACAAAAAACGTGCATGACCGTAATTACTACAATCGTGGACTAAAGTCCTTGGGACACTTGTGTAATGTAGCAAATTAGCTGTGTTTTACAACTGAGGTTTGAACAATGCTCTGCTATCCTTTATTGAGAACGCTTTGAGTTTTCAACATTGTATGTGGGCTGAGGGGAGAGGTAGCCAGGTGAAGTTGTATTCGCGCCGGAGGCTGGCATGTGCGGAAAAGCGCCAAAAGTGCAAATTTGTCCCAAGGCTTTTCCCCATGATTGTAGGTGACCGTATTATTTGGGTGACCGTAATACGGGGTTCCACTTTATGTTTTAAAACGTGAAGCATTTAATTAAGTCTAACGGGGGATCTAGAATCCAAGAGTATCCCCGCAAGGCTCGGAAAACGTGACGTACACCTGGACTATTCAAGAGTGTTCAACGATATAGACGTGACGTATTCAAGTTGAAATCGAAGAAAAAAAATACAGGCCGGTTTCATATTGGATATTCCAGATGTATTTCGAGTCAGGCGTCCTCGAGTACCTCAGAGTATTTCGGTATACGCAGCGTGCGACGATCCGTATTCGGACAAATACGGGGCCCAAATAACTGGCTTTTTGCGCAGTGAAGCAGCCGCGACAAATATAACTTTCACAAGTTGGTATGATGGTCTTCAACGGTTGACAACTAAGGTACCGATAATTGCTAACGGAGAACTCTGTAAAAGTCTGTTCCCGGTAGGTGTTTGGTTAGTTGGGAGCAACGAGACAAGCTCCAGAGGAAAAAAAATGGGGGAGTGGCTTGGAGCAGCGCTTTCCCGTGCTGTAACCCTCTCTCCTATTTTTTTTTCTTTCGTTGTTCTTTACGTTGCCAACGCTTGGAACAGGCCGCTCTACAAGGAGACTGCTAACATAACGATGGATTTTTTTTAAATTTATTTTTGTATCATTTAAAGCAACACACCTATATCAAATTACACGCATCACAAATTATAAATTACAATTACAAAGTACTGTGCTACATGTAATAACGATAAAGTTACAAAATCTACTCTAACTGATAGCTGAGAAATGGTCATAATTTTCACTGACCTTTGAGAAAAGAAGCGTTTTTCAACTAATCGCAGGGATCTGAGAGTTGCAAAATCGCTGATGGCTGATAAGAAATGGGCTAAAAAAAAAAATCTCAAGTTAAGTTTGTCCGTCCCGTGCAGGGGTCTGTATACCTCTTGAACATTGGTGTTTAAGGGCACAAAATGAATCGAGACAAAAAAAAGTGCACAAACCTTTAGCAACAGTTAACGGGTAATAACGGAAAAGCAGGATAACCGCACATGTTTTAGAGATTACGGTCAGTATAACCTGAGTAATAAACTTACTTTACTTCAAAATTTTAATCAAACTTACTTTCTCATCCCTATTATTTGTAGAAGTGACAGTTGTACTGACTCAAAACAGTAAAATGACCAAAAAATTAATTAAAAAATAGTTGATGATAACGGCGGCGGAAATTGAACCAGATAGAAGCGACAACAATAGTAGTTTTATTCCACATCATTCAAACTGCATTAACAACAAGGAAACACTGCAATATTTAGCAATAAAATACAGAGTTACTGTAGCAAGAACACAAATGAGTGAATGACATGTATATGAAATGTTTACCCCCTATTATTTTTTAAACTTTTTGCTGTTTTCTTTGATTTGTTCAATTATAGTTACAATGCGTGTAGTGCTGTGATTCAGTATGTCCCCTGCTTCAAAATTTTTTTTTGTATTTTATTGATATTTATATAAGTTTATAAATAAGAGTGACAATAACAATTGAAATTACATTTGCAGATAAAAGAAAGAAAAACTAGATAAACTAACGTGAGTACAGATGGCAAAAAAAACGAGTACTATTACTAATAAGACTACTTAAGAGGAAAATACTAATACACCCAAAATACTTACTATTTATATTAATGAATAAAACTACGCTAATTTTTACTTTTTNACTAACGTGAGTACAGATGGAAAAAAAAAACGAGGAATACTATTACTAATAAGACTACTTAAGAGGAAAATACTAATACACCCAAAATACTAACTATTTATATTAATGAATAAAACTACGCTAATTTTTACTTTTTTTTTGAAGAAACTACATAAACCAACACTAGTATAGATGAAGAAAAAAAAAAACAAAACAAGAAATACTGTTACTAATAACACTACTTATAAGGAAAATACTAATATACCAAAAATACTTACTAATATATTAATAAAACGGCCTATTGGAGTTGCTCAAGAATGACGTTGTCACCCTAAATCAGCCAATCGACTTTGTGGCACCTACATTTTGTGTAGTGGTCATGTGCACATGGCCCATGTCATCATCTGCATCAAGGGAGCCGATAAATCTTTGCTCAGAGCGGATGAATCGTTTTCTTTCATGTTCCATTATCCGAGCGATTTTAAATGATTATCATGGAGTTCAACCAACAAATGTCAAAATGTCAAATGTTGTTGTTTATAGTGGTCAATGCGCTTCGCTACAGCTAGCTAGTTCACGGGCATGCCACTTTAAATGAAGGAAACAAATATATCAGCTAAACGTTATAGGCTTAAAAATCCCGACCGGCGGGAGGCAGACCAGTTGGCTATACACAAGCATGACCGAGGAGCTGAACTAGTGTCTACCGAGAAACAACTCCAGCTAAGTGGTCAGAGCGGGGCTTGAACCCGCGACCTCCGGATTTCAAGTCCGGCGCCCTAACCACTCGGCCACGCTGCCTCCGTGAAACGCAGTGAAAATTTGTGTCATGGACGTTCTGCTTCGCCAATCTACTTCTTTGATTCAGTCCAGGATATCATGAACAGATCTTGACTGATACAAACCGTCTTCAAGCTGCCTGTTCAAGACACATCGTACAAAAGCACTCGCCCGTCAAAACGTGCAGTGAAAGTATGAGAAACCACCAGTACACTGCTACCCTATTCCCAGACACCCCCACTCCCTCCCTCCTGCCAACCTCCACTACCTCCCCGCTATGTTACGTTACTGTCGCGTACTGTAACGTTACTGTTACGTTACTGTAACGTTACTGTCACTTTTTGCAAAACTGCCGTGGTTCCCTGTCAGGAAAAACTCTCTAAGGTAAGGAATAATTCCTAAGCATTGAGTACATTTTTTTTTATTGCTGCTTCCTTGTAAGTACTGTCGTTTTCTAAAAGCGAATTTTCATGTGTAACTCGACGATCAACTTCAGCTAATCGTAACCGTCTAAATGCGAAGTGGGTCAAATTTCAAAAATACTCCAGCTGTTCTTATTATATTGCGGGTAGATGCCTCCAAATTCAAAAGCCTAACTTCTTCTACTT